TGCGTGTACATAGCCTCCGGTATGCAAAGGCAACGGTGCATGACAGGGATGACGGAGGATTGCTAAAGGAGGAGGGATATTTCCACTTTGGAACTCGGCCAATGGCCGAGAGCTTTGAAATCTTATGTATTGATCTTGCTTAATCTCACTCACATGCTCTACCTGCCCCACATTGCCCTAATTCATCTATGGCGATTATTTCCTGCGATGCTGCGCCAGGCGTTCGGAATCGAACTCGTTAAGGACATCGGTGTATTTCTAATTAAATTTTGGAATATCATAAAACTAACGATCATCAAGATCGTGTAATAATATAAATACATTCTTTAAAATAAAATTAAAAGGTCATTTCGAGTTTGGAATTAAAATGAAATATATTTATATAACTTTAGAAGATAATCATATACTGTGATTTTAAAAAAGAACATTTTAAATCTTGAAAATTCAGCGTTTTCTTTAATTTTTCAAATACATTGTACATAATTGAAAAACTTCAACTTTGAGATCACGTGCACAGAGTTGATAAGAAATCATTTTCATCTTTCCTCCAAACAATCTAAAAGCTTGATATCTTGCTTTTAAAATGGTTTTTTAATAAATCGAATTGCAATTTTTTCTTCATCGAATTATCACGATTTGAAAGAATCACGATTTTAATTATGCATTTTTAGTTATTTCTATTATCAGAATTTCTATTACTTTTGCCGCTGATTTTCTGCAAAAATTCATTTTTTATTAAAATATAATATATAATTATAAATATATTTTTGTTTTAATTCAATCATGGCTTAATGAAAATAATGTATAAATATATTATACACTCATATATACACTCATATGTTTCTTAAATGGCAATAACTTTGTATCATCATACAAAAACCATGCAAGTACATTTTGTTTCGGACAAATTATTGAATACGTAATTACATTCGACTTCCATTAATTAACACTAGAACCGCGGGTCTAAATTAACTCAATCGCGATTCAAGGTAAGTCTATAGCTTCTGACGATTGAGGGTTCTCACTATAAAAGTAAAATTATTTGTAATTAATGATGATTATTTATGAAAAGTCACAAAAAACTCCACGTGCAAATGAACTCGAAAAAAAGAACTATCAAATGGATCAAAAATGGCACAGCCGCGGTTCTAGTGTTAATCCGAGAACAATGTTATGTGATGAAACATTGTAATCTGTTTATACCTCAGGGATTAATCCAGTCTTGAGATTCCCACAATATTTCAATGAATATTCATTGAGCCGTCTCAGATGATAGTCTAGTTGTTCGTCCCGTAAGTACTACAGATATCAAAGTTTGTCACAGCTTAACGCAGCCCGTATTTACATGTATAGGAAAATATTATCAGACTTTTTAATATAATTATTGTATTTTTTAGGATACATTTAAGGAAAGAATTGATATGTACAATTCGTTTAATTAGCATCATTCTTAAAGATTTTGACAATTAAAAGAATTCTATTGCTATTTATAGTTTTTATCAGATTGCAAAAGATTTGTTATTTTTTATCAAATAAAATTGAAAATAAAATGTGGACAAAATCGAAGCGAAATTTCTATCGAGAACTTTAATATCTTCATCTAGAAATAATTTTCTATTTTTTTTTCAAAGAACCTCGTGGTTTTCTAACTTTAATGTAAAGCACAATGGAAAAACAACAAACCTTTTGTATCGACGTAATGAAATGCATAGAACTTTATTATTTCCCGAACATAAAAGCAGGAGAGAAGTTTTTCAAAAGACAATTTTTCAAAGAACACCACCCGTTACAAAGTCTTTCCAACTTCGATGCTTTTTTCATTGCTGTTATGCTTTGTCACAGTTGAATTGAGTCCTGCATAAAATACCAGTTACGGGATAAAACGTTAATAGAGCGCAGCGAGACATACCTGTAATAGAAACGGGCGCCACTGTGTGAGATTATACGTTTATTGTCAAAGCGAATTTCTGCGACAAGACAGTTCGGTACAGCAACAGGTTGAAACTTTGTTCGTGGCTTCGTTGGGGGTGACTCGATAAAAAGAAACAATCAAGGTGAATCGAGCCATCTTAGCCGAAGATTGCTCACTGGCGTTAATTAACAAGATCAGAAAATTTTTATTGTTCAACAATACTTTTCTCCTTGATGTGAAATATGATGCTAAATATTTACAAATATTTGCGACAGATTCATCTTCGAATTTTTGTTTAATTTTAACGATTAATTGTATTTAAAGAGAAAATGCAATTAAATTCTAGTTTCGGATTTCTCATTGGCTAAAATCGTTTAATCACTATCATTATCGATCGATATCAATTATTTTAGAAATATAGGAAGTCTTAGGCTATCTAATTTCCGCTAAAGTCATATTTCTATGTTCACTCTATACATTACATTACATGGTTGTAAACATTTGACAGTTGACAACATTTTTCACCTCTATTCTCACGAATTTGCAGTTCATTAAAAATCAACTCATTGTCAGTTTAATATGTCATAACTCATTTGTATTAGAACTATAGTTCCTGTGTGTTTCTTACTTTTTTTTTAAATATGATTTAATTGCAATTGTCGATAAACATTATTTATCTCTTGTTACATATGCAATTCTCATTGTTATATAACGATATACGACTTGTAAGTCATATTAATTTAAAAATATATTTGATCAAATATTAGGTACATATTTTTATAGTTTTATAATTTGTTGATTGAAAATTTTTTTAGTTTTTTACTTATTTGACCGTAGTTTTGTGGTCTATATATATATAAATTATTAAATAATTTTTACTAATTTGATTATAAATCATTACTATAACATTATTAAGGTTCTTTAATTGATTATTTTTTATTAATTTGACTATAGATTATTGACTTGATATTGTTTAAAGTATTTATTTTATTTCTTAGTATTTATTTTAATTTGTTACTTACTTTGACAAAACTGCACGTTCTCGTCTCATAACGACGAATTGTTTTCTCTTATTATGAAGATGTATAATACATGTGTGATCGAAAACTCATAGGAATTCGCCGCGTTTCAACAGCTCATTATTATGAGGAAATACATAGAAAAGCGTCTCGACATCTATGTGAAGAATATGTTTTTAATCATATACAGGGTGTCCCATTTTAATCCCTCACCCAAAATATTTTGAAAAATAAGTGTTTTAAAGAAAAATGCTTCGGACAAAAGTTGTTTAGGACAATGGGGGGCATCTTTCTGCATTGTTGGTTTTGACGTTAAGGTCAATTTTCAAGGTTATTTGAAGGTTACGGTGATTTTTTTTAATGGGAACCCCTATTTTTAACACCGGATTCGGAAAGAGCGGGAAATTTTACGTCCGAAATGATAGTTAGATAATTTGCTAGAGTGACCTTCAGAAGGTCAAATGTTGAAAGTCGTCAAATGTTGTCAAATGTTGAATCGTCCAGAAGCTGTTTTCTTCGAATTGTAGGTTTATGGGCGAACAAATTCTTCGTAGAGTTGTTTACTGCTTCGTTATCCTTTTAAGCTCTTTATCGCTCTAGGACTTATTAAGTCTTAAATTTCCACTCGAAAAAAAAATCACCGTAACCTTCAAATAACCTTGAAAATTGACCTCAACGTCAAAACCAACAATGCAGAAAGATGGCCCCCATTGTCCTGAACAACTTTTGTCCGAAGCATTTTTCTCTAAAAATGCACTTATTTTTCAAAATATTTTGGGTGAGGGATTAAAATGGGACACCCTGTATGTAATTTGAAATCAATTAAACGCACTATTTATTCTCCGATTTTTATGCAACTAATGAAGACTCTGTGAGTACGAAATGTCTTGCGCCCGTTGTTTTTGTGTACATTCTGTAATTTAATTATATCATCTTAATTCGTTTTTATTAAAAATCTCGTATTTGCTCGTTTATTCATTTTTCCTTATTTAAATAAAACATCCTTTGAAAGACGTAAATTGGAGTCTACATAATTATTCGTGTCACCATTCGGTTGACTGAATAGAGACGAATTGCCATGATTAAATTAATTTCCATCTAAAAATATTCGTGCTTGCATACCTTGGCAAAATCAGCAAGCCGATTTCTCGACCTAAATTCTTCCTCTGGTAATAATTAGACATGGTTCGGCTTCTAATCGACAGCTCCTAATTGGAGCTTCATCTTCCCAAGAATGTATTCGACGTACGTTCTATTACGAAATTTTCAATCGGAATTAATTATCTGCACATCGAATGTGATGTAAATATTAGAGAGAGTAGCACAAAAATTTTCCTGAAAATATATTTCCTGGATCGACAATTTTATCCAAATTTTATCGCACTTCATTCTTGTTTGTCTTATTTCCATCGTTCAATTTAAATCACGAGAAGATAAGATAAGATGCGAAACTCAAAGAATGCATACGTTTTTTCTTTAGTTTCCATCTGTCGCAATACTTGGCAATATCCCGAGCTCCTATTAAGTTTGCTGGGAATCCTTTAGTCGCAACTGGGACGTGATGCGAAGGTCGAGTGATGCTCAAGGCTGCGTAGGTCGGAGACTAATTACCAACTAATTTGTTCTCATCCCCCGAACGGGAGAAAACATTTCTCCTAGGCCATACGGGCAACATCGTCCGCATTTTCTCCAATAATTGCTCCGGGAAGACAGTCCAAACCACATTCGAATGAATTATTCACTCTGTCGATCGATAGTGTCAAGAATAGAACTTTTTCGACTATTCTGACTCGCGTGCATTTTAGTTTGGGATTTATAAAAATACAAATCTTACACAACGAGATTATATAATAAGACACTTTAGGTATCTAGAACTTCGTAGGAAGTTGAAATTTAAGAACGTTGTTTGCTGTACAAATTTAGCACTATAAGTGAGGGAATATACTATATATACATTTATAATATATTTAAATTCACACGTAATTTGACAAATTTTGCTGATGCGTCGATCCCATACAATGTCGTAAATATTTATATGGTGTCACCTTAGCTGTGGTAACGGATTGCAGGGCGGATTATTGGAAGTCCCAAGGACGCAAGTTCTGCGACTTCTGCAAGTGTTGGATCGCCGATAATAAACCGAGTATCGACTTCCATGAGGGCGGCAAGAAGCACAAGGAAAATGTCAGCAAGCGGCTCAAGGAGATCCACAAGAATAGCACCAAACAGGCAAAACAAAATAAAAAATTCGAGGATGACCTCAAGAAAATGGAAAATGTATGCATACACAGACGTTGATTAAGACATGAAAATACTGATGATAAGTAATCATTCTCTTTTTGTACAGGCGGCTATGGCTGCGTACTTGAAGGATGTTGAGAATAACACGCGAGATATGACTGCTCAGAGAATCATTAAAGAGAAACTGGACAGGATAGAAACAAAAGAAGTGAGTTATACCTACCTAAAATTAATCTCTTATATTTAATGCTTAATTTTAAATATTATACCAAGAGAAATAATAATATCAGATGCAATACTTTGAAAGATTGTGCAAAAAGAAATTATATTTTTTTTTCTACGTTAAAATAACGAAATCTAAATTATTATACATATCTTTAATTCAGTGTTTAGTGTGATGTAATACGGGTATTTCTAGACGCCTCAAAATTGCAACCGTATACCGTCAGCCGCTCCAGAAACGGTACCAAGATTCAAAAGCAATAGTGAACAGGTGCATAAATTCAAATTCAAATTGATCTTTCTAATTATTTAATGATCGAAACATAATTAAAACATGATGATTAAACAAAATAAGTATTCACCATGTTTATTTACAAGATCTGGTAAAAGTCGGATCACTTGCGCATCTTTGATTAATTGATTATACATATGTCCATTATTTTCTAAGAAAACTAGAACGTGGTTCATCAATGCGAAGTGAACTTTTCAACTGAAACTTTTCCAGTTCTTGCCAAAAGTGGATCCTTGTGACCCGGCAACTTTATCAAAGGGCGCACTGTCGTTTCCACGGGTCCAGCAACACAGTGGCGAGAACAGGACTCCGGGGAAGAGTAAATCGGGCAAGACGAAGGGAAAGGGGAAGAAGACCCAAGAGGATGATCGTCCGACCGCACCCGTCAGAAAACTGTGGTATGAGGCTCGCAGTCCCGAAGGATACACTTACTATTGGCATATTGAAACGAACGGTGGGTGTACTTTTGTCGAATTTTTTTTTATTTTTTTGCACGTCTGTCTTCTAGATATCTTTTTTCGTCAGACAGTAATCATAATATGTTGACATTTCATTTTTCTTGCAGACGTTTTAAAAACAATTCTTATATTTGCTTCTTACATAATATTATTTTCACATTTGTATGTTTTTTAATTTATTATTTATAATTTACATAATTTTTGTCTTTGTCAAAAACTCTCTTTCTCTCTCTCTCTCTATGGCTCTTAAATAGCATTTAAAATGTAAGATTTTTTAATTTCTGTTATGTCGATGTGAAATATGATTATGAATTTATGATTATAACTGCGTTCGAAGAGACACTATTAGTGTTATTTGTGTCATTTTATCTTCATCGTCTATTTAGACATGAAACAAGAATATGACACAAATAACGCTGATAGCGCGCTCCCCAAACGCAGCTTAGGGTTGCTCCTTTTATATTTTTTGTTAACATGATATTAAATTTGTAAGTTTAATAAGCTTTGCTTTTTTTTCTTAAGGTTAAGTATATTATGAATCGTGATTAAATCTCATGCGAGATATTTGTTATCGAGTATAAATATTTAATATACATTAGAATCGGTTTGGGAGCCTCCGGAAGAGGGCTACATGACTTTCACGGAGCAAGAAGAAGAGGCCAAGGAAGAGGTGATCCAGAGAGAGCTCATGGAACAATTGGATAGAGAGGAAGCGGGCAAGAAGGCAGATATTCTCGAGGAACATCGAGCCAACATTGAGAGAGAGAAGATGAAAGAGTTCAGGAAACAACCAGTTGAAAACGATGACGTTCAAGATGCTGAGGAAAGCGTGGAAATAAAGGAGAAGGCAGTCGAAGAAGAACGACCTTACTGGCGAGACTACAGTGTACCTGAGAGACCGCAACCTTACGGATCCTGGCAAGTCGTGGAGACAACGTAAATATTTTATACTATTTTGCTATACTATTTTGATCACCAAAATGGATTAAGATATTTTTCACGAAAATTTGTCGCGACAACAAGGTTTTACTCTTAATATTAATTCTCGAGTAAAGACGATACGTTTTCACAGATTATGAATGGAAACTGCTAGAAATGGAGCTATATTAATTGATTAATATACAATTATTTAGTAGTTTTATTTATTACATACAATTATTATATACATTTAATATTTTTATAATATTATACATTTAATATATACAATTATTTAGAAATTGAGCTATATTAATTGATTAATATACAATTATTTAGTAGTACAGTATTATTGTATGTATATATACATAATTCTATTACACACCAATACACTATTTTATTGTGTTAAAGTAGAATCAGATCACTCAAAGATTAATTAATTTTCTATACTATTTTTTATACAGTCTCAAGATAAATGTAAAAATGTTTAACATTTTAGCAAGAAGAAACCAGTGGATCTTCAATTGCCAAAACAGCAGAAACAAATACAGCTGCCCACATTTACGAAGATAGAGCCACCGCCACTACAAAGAACTTTTAAAGAAAAAACTGTTGTACAAATTAATACAGGTGACAGTGACGATGAAAAAATAGCCACTGCTTTTAAGAAAAGAAAAATCGGTAACAAGAATGTGCGCAAAAGAACGACTGATGAATGATATTTTTTTGTGGAAAATGATATGATCTTCTGTCCTTTAGTTTACGCCTAAGGTATTTTTTAAATATGCATAGAAAATTAAATATTATCAAATTAATGTAGTAATTAAATTAATAACATTTATGAGGCATTAGTTTGCATTTATATATAATTTTAGAGTCTTTATTTATACATATTTTATTACAGAAGAATGTAAATAAAAAATGCATACTTTGTAATCTACTTAAGTGTATATTTGTATGCATACATATATTCATATAATTTTAATTGTAAATAAAAAATTTTATTCTATTTTACATAAAAATTTTGATCCTATCATAACTAATATTAATTAAATTAATTTTATTAATATAATAATTAATACTATTAAATGTACAATAAATGCATTTTCAGCATCACTTAAAATAAGTAATTGTAGAATACGTACGTACATATTTTTTTTATACAATATTTGTTTTTTTTTTACTTTTAATAACAGTTCTATTAAAACCAATCAACATTCGTATATAATCTCTTTATATTTTTATTTGAATCTCATTAACATCTTCAATAACATCAGTTCTGCTATATCTGTCGTGCCATATATATGTGTATCATGTATCAATATTTTTCACATTAACATTTGCATGCTATAAAACACGCTTGCAAGATAAGATATGGCATTATGAGATTATGTTATATACAAATTTACACGTTTTTTGATAAATTTCGTGTCAGTAAAAAATAAGATGTCAGGAGAAGCAGTAAATTGATTAAAAGTAAATAACGCGAAACTTCCTTTAATTGTACGAAGCGACTTACATATTTACTCAATTCTTTTTCGCAAGACATCATGTTATATTAATTAAGTCATATTAAATCATTGTTATCATATTAATAATTAGTCTGGCTTTGACCGGAGATCGTTTATTCGTTACTTAAAGTTTGGAATATTTCCTCTAGTATATTACATGTTCAAGAGTTATACAAAGAATAAAGACAACTCTCATGAACACATGTAAAATACTTGAGCAAATATTCCAAATTTTAAGTAACGAATAAATTTGGAAATATGAAATGGAATGTAAGGACTAAACAACAAAATTATTGCGAGTACTACACATTATCAGTAAAGAAAAAATTTTTTAAATACTGGCAACACGTAAACTTCTCTACACAACTGTACAACATTAAATAATGGAGACATTTTACAAATTTCCTTATAGTATTATTAATTTTCAGATCCCTTGGACGTAGATAACATTTTCACACATGTGCCGCATGAACTGAATTTGATCCAATGATATGCTTAATGTCATTCTGATCTGTACATCGCACGCCATTAAGTTCATTCACAATATCTTCGCGTAACCGTCCTTTGGTCTCTGGTAGTAATATGAAGCAGAACAGAAAATTGCATACGCAGAAAGTGGCGAGAAGAAAGAAGCAACCGTGCAAGCCTAACAAAGCAACGAGATCCGTGAAGCTTTTCGTCATGATAAATGCAGTTATCCAACTTACAGAGACACTTATGGCCGAGGCCAGGCTGGTTATGTCACGGCTAAATATCTCAGACATCACCACGATAGGTCCGTTCCCCATTCCCAAAGCAAATAATATCATGAAGGTAGACAATGCTACCACCGGTATCCAAGAATAAGCGGATACTTCATATTGTGAGTTCAGAAGATAATAAAATGCGCCTATCGTGCAGTGACACACGCACATTCCCGCACAGGATAGAAGAATCAAGAGCCGTCTACCAGCACGCTCCACCAACAATGTCGCTAACCATGATCCGAGGAGCTGTACAGCCGCTACAATAATAGATGACGTATTCGGTGTTAATGAACTGCCGGACATTTTGAAAATCAATTCCGTATTACTGATCTAGATGGAAAAATCGAAAATTAAGTTTCAGTCATTTTGCAAAAATAAAATTTTAAATAAAATGAAATTAAAGTCTCGTAAAAGTTTTGTCATATTGTCAATATGTTGGCTTACGTACTGTTCCACTTACAGATTTTAGAAAGAAAGCAAACTTGAAGGATTTGTAAACATTAATAATGTTGCATCAAATGCCTGAGTCCATGAGCTATCTATCACTGATAATTACCATTGCAAAAATGCCACAAAGTTGTTGACCGATGAACAGACCCACAACAATTATAATTCCTTTGATTGTTGCTTTGTCTCTAACCAAATCTGAAAACTTGGCAGGTTTCATAGATACGCTATCCTTGATTTGCATCTGTATATGCGACAACGTACGTTCTGCCTCAAGACTGTTCCCTGCTTTCAACCACTTCAAGACTCTGAAACAACAAATTGCAACGTACCTTTGCTTTCAAAGAGAATATTTGTTGGTTTCATTGTTTTTTTTACCTAATCGCCTCGTGCGTACGATTTCGACGCACCAGGTATAACGGCGACTCCGGCATGAAGACGAAAGTGATGATATACAAAAGAATTAACGCTAGGATAACCACGGGCAAGGCGCGGAAGGACATTATGCCACCCAGGATGTAAGCCATTAGTATTCCGATATTCACAGAAAATATCAGGATACTTGCCAACATGCCACGGATACTGTCGCACGAAATTTCTGATACGTAGTTTGGTATGATGAAGAACGTGACGGCACCAGCGATGCCGCTCAGAGCCCTCGACACATAGATGTACATGTGCTCGGTAGCAAACATGATCAACAGCCAGGCGATAATCATTGGTACCGTTAATACGTAGCCCAATCTCTTCCGGCTAAACTTGTCTGGTATTATCGAAGTTAGCACAGCCATGACAGAACCACTCAGGCATAAAATGGCAGTCAACCAGGATATGTCGTCATCTGTCATAGGCTTTCCCACGGGTGACGAAGGACTTTGCAACAGTTCCGCTGACGGTGACGGCCATCCTATCACGATTCCATAAGACAACGCCAACTGATTTACTGTAAATACATGTCACGGAATAAATAAGACTTTCGACGACCTAAAAGAGACTAATCATAATAGGCATTTTCTTAATATTTTCCTAATATTTTCCAATTTTTTGATACATTATAATCTATATTAAATGTCATTTTGTAAGTATCATTGACATTACGCCGATAAGAATAATTTAATTCTTAGGGTAATTTAATTTCTTAGAATAATCACACTTGCATCACTGTCTATAAAATATCAATTGGTTAAAAATATTGATCTGTTTTATTTTTATATGTTCTGTTTATAATTCTTCTACTTTTAAGGGCTGTCTTATCCATGAATGGAGAACTACTACAAAGGAAGTTCCTCTCCTTCGATTGAAGCCATCGCAAGCGTCATATATTTCTTCTGCTTCTTGAGGAAGAGTCGAGAAAAGAGGATCTTTCGTCTTTCCAACTTACTGATTATCGTGGCAAGGAACTGTTTCAACTTCCCTGACTCCTTCAGTGGGTTTTCACATTTTTCCATTGCACGTTTTTTCAAACAAAAGTAACTGCACTGATAATTCCGCAATTATTTATCGGTTTCGAGCCAAGAGTCGACTAGGAATGAATTTATAGAGTACCAATGCATTGGTATAAACAGAATGCTTGTTTTACACTCGACGAGCGTAAAAATTCAATATGCTACATACGAACTGTAATTCGATTTATAACGATCATTATTTACGAAGAAATTCTTGTCAAGAAGGGGTATCCTTATCTAGATGTCATTCGTTAATGAAAACGCGTGAATAATAGGCACACATGGTATTCTGTGTACATAGCAAATATTCCACTTATCGGATCCATCGTCGGCTTAAAAAAGGGTATTAAACTCTGATAGAATCGATGTAACCTTGAATCTCAGCCTTTTAAATATTAGAGGCCCCAAATATGTCAAAGATTACGTGTCTAAATAAATTTTAATAAATTTCCGCTTCTTGCTATAATGTAGAACTATTTTATCGTTTTGTTGGAATACGATCTTAATCTTAAATAAGATTTTATATTAATTAAATTCAAATAAAACTATATTAATCAGTCTATTGGATTATGAACAATCCGATCTTATATTTAAGATCGTCTTAAATTTGATCTTAGGTAGTATTAAAATTCATGCAGTCTCAATGAAATAATTATAATTTCTTGAGATCGTATTTCAAGTTTAAAAAAATGTGTTCCTTGATTTAAATTTTAGATTCTATTATCTTTTTATCATATAATAGAACAAGATATATGATTCTACTTCATCCATAGTATTTATTATCTATATGCATAATTTATACGAGCTATGTGGCTAAGATAAATAGGCATTGACATCGTAATTAAGTTTTTTTTTTAAAGATATCAAGAGATATCATTGTTGATTCATTACATATACTTATTCGCTAGAGTAGAATTTCCTTTATCTTGTGTCTCTTATTTTAGATCATTGCGCAACCGAAAATGTACCGCAAAAAATGATTTACTGCCGTAGCGTCTCGCTGAGAAAGATTTAATTTACCGCTGCTATCCAACAATATGATTAATTGATAAAATTACGACTAGAATTGATAAAATTACGACTCATAGCAAGCTAATTTCGACACGGAACTGTGTGCCTATGTTTGTATTTGTTGCGTGATAACGACTTTTTAAAGTCAAGCGGCGAAGTAGATCGACTGGATCTCCCTAGTTGTAGTATTTGAGCAGGGCTGGGTATTTTTGCATTTAAAATGCCATTTAAAATGTAATTCTATTTAAAATGCTAAATGTAAAATACTTAAAAAAATGTATATTAAAATATCTATTTATCCATTTTACATATAAAGTGGATTCGAAAAACATTTTGCATTTTAAATACATTTTTTTAAGTATTTTATATTTGGCATTTTAAATGATTACCCAGCCCTGTATTTGAGGTACCCTCGTAATCTCTTCCATTCGGGAACGTTTTTCCTAAAGATTCATTTTTTTTCTTTTTCTTATTAAAGATCTGCCGAAACATCTTTCAATTCAGAACCTGCGCAGATCGATACGTGTCAGAGCTAATCGTAAAGAATTGATCAGCTAGGTATTTGAAGCGAAATTGGAGAACGAAATTCTCGAGTCATTGTTGCTGAACGTGATTGAAGTCATGTTCGAGGAAAGTATATTTTAATTCCATTCTTCAATTTCATTCCAAACATCCGATTGACCATTATTGTTTGGTCATATGTTTAAAATCATCCTAAAGCCCAAGTAAAACACAGAAGTCATGAGGACATCATCATGACCTCATTCGTCACTTATAAGTCAATTTTTAGGTATCAAATGATGTCATGATGATTCTGTCGACGTCATGATGATTCTGTCGACGAATAACGTTCTGTGATACCATTATGACTTAATTATGGCTGCTTTCCTTTTAAGAGACACAGTCGATACAAGTGTCGTTCTATCTTTGTCACTCTCTGAATGTCAAGAAGGATAGAACGACGCTCGTGTCGATTTGTGTCATCAAATGGAAAGCAGTGTATGACTCCGTGTTCTACCTGATTTCGAGAGGCTGTTACCTCATTAATCAGATGAAATCTTGACATCACTTAAAATTGGATTTGGGCCAAAATTTTGTTGGTTAAATCTACTAGAAGATTAATTTAACCAGAAATCTAGTAGACTTAACTAGAATTCTGGATCGCGTTCATTTTCCACCAGAATTTCGATTAATTTAATTAAATTTTCCAATATTAGGCCAATATTGGGGGCCCCAATATTTGTCCAATATTGGTTATATATTGATTTTCCAATATTGGGCCAATATTGCGGGCCCCAATAGTTATAAAATCTTCATTTCGAAGTTTGACGCGTTCTGGAACGGTTCGCAAATTTAAACCCGCGCTCCAATCTCGCGGGCGAGAGGCAAATCGATAGCCACCGCATCAGCTGTTCAGTTCCCTCCTTTCCCTCCTACCACCCCCACCTACGATTCTCCCTTAAGGTCGCTACGTGTGTCATCACGGCCATATTAGGCACGAGAGGTGGAATCGGAGGAATGAGGACGTTTCGCGATAAATGAGGCTGCTCTGAAATTTTCAAGGTGCGTTTTTTTATCCGCCGCTTTTTTCAAATATCTTTCGTTGATCGTTTATTGTCGCCAGAAGTTAAGCGACCTGAATAAAATCGATCATCAGCAAACGTCGTCATGCGTCGTTTCTGTTGTCATTCACAATCATCTGTGTATTGTTTCATGATGTAAGGCAGACTTTCTCGGCTGCGCTACGAGGCTCTTCCCCGTGGATTGCAAGGGACAGCCCGCGAAGCATGGCATGGCACTGCAATGGCACTACGAATCAAGAGATGGTGACGAAGCTGAAAGGTAAATGACCCCTGCGATCGTCGCAGGATCGATGCATAGGAAGGGCGGACCTAATTATTGCAATTAATAGTATCGGAGTCTACTATAGAGTTACAATTGTTCGCTTTGTACGGCAATTAGGGACAGATTATTCGCAGATGCTGGTATACTGGCAACGGACAGGGCAGAAGCCGCTATGCTCGCTATTGATAGAGCCAAATATTGCCACGAACCGGATCCTTACCTCGATCGTCCTAGAAGAATCGGTTACAACGTGACCATCAGTGCACCGCATATGGTAAATGTGTGTTTTACCTGTTTTATGTCCTACGAAACTGATATCAGTATGAATAAGTTTGTATGGCTTATTTTGCTTACATAAAATATGATATAAATAAAAAAAAATATATATTTCATAGCTGTGAAACATATTAAACATCCCAGTAAACGCTAACTAAATAACTATCAATATTATAATTTCACATTCAGTAATATAAATTTAATAAAATACACGTTGTTTGTATAACGAATAAAATATGGCTCATTTTAATGTTTACTTGTTTACATAAACTGTGATACAAATACAGTACAATATATATTTCCTGTTTAAACATTCCAGTAAACAAAGTAACATAACGTCAATGTTATAATTTTACATTCAGCAATATAAATTTAATAAAACACATGTTGTATGTAACGTTTTATATAAAGTTTTATTGTTAAGTATGAAATTATAACATTGATGTTACTTTACTTTTAATTGGCACTTACTGAAATGTTTACGAAAATATATAATCAATAATTTAAACTTTTTATATAATTCTTACATATATAGTTTCATGGTAAACATAAAACTAGGAGCAAATTTGTTGTGATGCTGCTTGGCGTCGATTCTTTTCTAATTTGTTATGTAAAGTTAATCGTACACTGAAATATTATAAACTAGTATCTAGTATGTAATTATGTATGTATATAGAATGAAGATGTTGATAGAATTTTATTTATCATTTACCACACAGGAATACGATTTGAAAAATGGGGTTATCAGAGTGTAATCTTTTATTTTATTTTTATGTTATTTATGTTAAACATATTTGATGACTGAAGACTTTTCAAACAAAGATATTGACACAATACATTTTTTTAAGATTTAATCTATTCGGTAATGGTTTGATAAATTACGTTCATATTTCTTGCAGCATGCATACGCATTATCTATCCTCTCCGATCAACTCTTCGACGGCGCCAAGGCACTTGACGTTGGCTCAGGTTCGGGCTATCTCTCGGCCTGCATGGCGTTCATGGTAGGCTCAGGCGGACGCGTAATAGGCATCGAGCATATTCCCGAGCTCATAGAGATCTCCACTAGGAACGTACGCGAGGATAATCCGCACTTCCTCAAGGAAGACCGCATCAAATTTGTGGGTAAGCTGTCGGTACTCCGTTAATGTTACAGTCCCTTCTGTTATTGTCCCTAGTAGTCCTCTCACTCAGACAGTCGAAGCTCCTTCTCTCGTCAATGTTATGCCATTCCTGTACGTCTCATTATCATGAATCTTCGTGTAAAGCTCATTGCACGATGAGAGAAAACGTTCAAGAAGTATTACATGTATGCATAGTCCGAATAAAAAATACCCGTGATCTATCCACGTGGAGTAGGTATGTACGTTGCCGTGAAGAGTCGAACGGAACACTGTCCACCAACTGTGTGGCTTTGCTGTAAAGGTAAAAGATAAAGACTGCCGACTAACGACAGGTCATTATGAATGCGCCTAGTGGGAGACGGCAGATTGGGACATCCTGCTGACGGCCCTTACAACGCTATACACGTTGGAGCAGCGGCCGAAACTTTACCGGAGACGGTGAGTATAAGCGGTGAACCGCCAGTACGCTGTCTAAGAAAAAAAGGAATAGATGCAAGTTGCATTCCATTATTCACTACGAGTACTGTTCGCGAGTACGTTAGTCTAAGTTCTTGCTTTAAAAGGCTGTAAATTATAAAGTAATAAATTGACCAATCATAGTTGAAATCTAAACAGTCGAATAAACAAGTTACGTAACTTTGCCAAATCCGTTTGCGGCACCTTCCTTAGAATCGTTTGTAGTGATTTTCTGGTCTTCAATTATCCTTGGACCCCCGGGATTGATTAGTCACGAATCGATAGTTACGAAACCATAACCGACGGTCTTTAACAGTATTTCATTGGTGCTAATACTAATTCAGAAATCTGGTTTTGTCACATTTTCTAAAAGCCTAGTTCGGTCTTCTGGTCTTTATTCTTTATGTGTATAATACAAAAGAGAATTAATCAAAGTTTTTTATTTCATGGAAAGAAAAGAAATGAAGGACTTTGATTTATTTTCTTATGCATTGTGTGTTTCCGTCCTTACTTATTAAAAATTTTATTGTAGACTATAGGTACACTATAGGTTTTCAGTACTAACAATAAATAATGGAACGTAGCTGTAGATTGCGATACATGTGTAAACGATGTAATTTTTATAGCTGATTGATCAACTGGCTCCCGGAGGTCGACTGATCTGCCCAGTCGTGGCCATAAAAGGTTTCCAAAGGTTACAAGATCTGCTGCAGGTGGACAAGAGCACAGACGGCGCGATCACAAAGAAGAAGCTGATGCAAGTCTCTTACGTTCCTCTCACGGATCCCACCACTCAATTACGTAATTAGAGTCACTAAGGTGAGGTGTAACGGCGGAAAGAAACGCAAAATTTCCGAGCAGACGATTAAACGATTCGCGTATACGAACCAAATTAGCGATAATCAGAATTTTTGTATCCGCAAACTAATTTTTTTCACGCATGCGTAGATATGGAATGCACGTCGTCTTCAATTGGGGATTCAATAAACTATATATATATTTTGTACATGCCCTGGTTAATTCCTTCGCATTGTCCATTTCTTTCACTAAATTAATATATTGCAGTCGCAACTATGGTTTTGTTATGTACTTTTAAGAGACACAAACATCGTTTTATCTTTCTCAACATTCAATAATAAATAATAAAGATTGAATGTGTCAACTATGTCATTTAAAAGGAAAACAGCTCATTATATATTGCTTGATATACAATAAAATGCTATTATGTTATCATAATGTGTTATGTAATACTGATTTTGTTAATAATACTGATATTATTGTTCCATAAGCATCTTAATTAATTTATACTAAAAACTTCCATTAGAACGTGAGAAAGAATTATAAATTATAAGGAATATATGAATAATTGAAAATATAAATAAATAATTGAATTAATTATAGAAAAATAAATATTTAACAAGCAAATAAAATATAATTGTATATCTTTATATAATATATACTTCTATAATCGCTCGTATCCCTCCATATATATGGATAGTCGCTTCTATCCTGTGGATGTAGTACAGACACGAACTACTTCCACTTTCGACGATACGATTTTATCGATGTTAGAAAATGAATGTAGTTACGTCGTTTTCGTGAATATTTTTATTAACCCGCCGAGCTTATTCGTGCCAGTCATATATTCTGCTTTTAGTATGGACACTCACGTGCTAAGCGCTTATAATCATCATTTTATCTTTATCAGACGCATTCAACTGAATTTCCGATAAAGACTTCTATCTTTATCGAAAACGCTTGATAAAGACAGAATAAAGATTGTAAGCGCTTAAAGCGCGTAAACGTCCATAATGAACGCAATGCTTATATGGCGATAAAGATGGCGGCCAGAAACGATGATAGCCATGGGTGCGTTCAGCAGAACGTTTGTTTTGCAACTGTTGGAAGTTTCCTTCGCGCTAATTGGATCATACTTTTAGATCTAGAAGAATGGTCCTATCTCAGCAGACAATCATAAAACGGTTGCAAAACTGTTGAGTCTGCTGAACGCACCCTATATTGAATTGGAGTTCCTCATTTCCGAGTGTCATAGCTATGAGGTCGCCACAAATGCTGAAAATGTAGAGACACTATTATAAAGCCTTGTGTCCACGATGCTAGAAATTGGTCCGAGATCTCGGAAAGAGAAAGAATTAACCAATCACATTTAAACAATTTAGTCACATGATCAATGCGATTGGTCAATTCTTTCTTCATCCGAGATCTCGGACGGATTTCTAGCATCGTGGACACTGGGCTTAAGAGACTAGCATAGATGAGCTAATTTTTAATTGGCTAAATATGGAATGGCAGAAGCCAATCAAAAGTCGTGCTGGTAATAGATGATAGTACAGCCCGAATTCTGATTGGCTTCTGCTTTCCTATTTTTGCTGTTTTTCCGTTCCAGTTGCGAACGCGTCCTATGACTTATCGTCCTGTGAACGCCATTTTCTATCCAACTAGAACTTATGCCAGTCTCTTAAGCCCGTATCAGACTACCGACTTTGCAAGCCGACTGTCAATTCTGGCTGTTGATCAATAATGGACCAATCACATTGAATCAGTCTTATGCGGGGTCTACAATAGAAGTTGTAGTAGTCGTAGGATCTTGAGTCGTAGAAAATTAACCAATCACAGTCGAATATGAGAAGAATAATCAATTATGATTGGTCAATTTTCTACGACTTAAAATCTGGGTTCGGAACACTTCTCGGTTTAGTTACAGAACTGCCAACATCTAAAAAAAGAAATAAGCTAAGCTAATCCGGTTCGGAATACGAATACACCCTCAGTTGATCTAACTAGGCCAGTTAGTCCATCTGAATTGACCAATCGCATTTGTCATTTTGTTTGAAGAATTGACAGATTGGTCAATTCCGATGGATTAATTGGCCCAGTTAAGGCTGCGGTCCACTTGACGCTACAAACGCTTCGAAACGTTTGAGCGACCAATCAGAACAAAGAATTCTACGAATTGACTAATCAAAGAATGCTTTGAAGCGTTTGTAGCGTCAAGTGGACCGCAGCCTAATGCGGGGTCTACAATAGAAGTCGTAGCGGTCGTAGGATCTTAAATCGTAGAAAATTGACCAATCACAGTCGAATATGAGAAGAATAAACAACTGTGATTGTCAATTTTCTATGACTTAAGACCCTACG